TGATTTGCGATCCACTTGTCCAGATTTTTTTGAGCGTCTTGGTGACACTTGGCCAGCTATCCCAAGAATACTTAAGCCTCTTTTCTCACCCACGCCATTCATTCTTACTTCATCTCTCTCTCTTTAAGACACAAGGTTTGAAGAAGTGACTGTTGGAGGGCAGCCATTGTTGGGCAGGTGAGAGCTGTGAGAAGAGGAGTTGAGAAGGCACCATTGTTATTCATGTAAGTGGATCCATGATAATGGTGAATGTTGAGAAGGAATGTATGATTCTTAGATTATGTAAGAAATGCATGTTATGTGTGTACATTGTGAGAGAATGGTTGTTATCATGTTCTTCACCATGTAATGAAGGTCGTGGAATGTGTTCGTGAGACATGTTCTATGCCACTATGAAATTCTAAAATTATGTGTGTTCATGAAAGAGGCTTTTGAACAGTCAAATGGGGTCCGACTGACCTCAAATCACCACCATTGGAAAGATGTACGAGTCTAGTAAAATGTTTGTTTTAGCCCACTGTTGAAATTCTTTACAAAAATGAAGTTATGTTTCAAAATGAGAAGGTACATCATTGTTGACTGTTTTCCTGGATTTTTCACTAATACCACTATGGTCACTAATTTTAACTAACCAAAAGAACTTCATTTTTGACCAAACCACAGCCATTTGAAAGATTTTTGAATGGGCTAAAATTTGCATATATAAACTATTTTGAAATTCTTCCTAGATTGAAAGTTATACTTCGTTTTATGAAGGTATATCACTATCACCTTGTTTGCCACGAATTTTTTAACCACCAAATGGAATCCAAATGCTTTCAAGTTTTCTTTCTTAGAAGATATACGTCTTGGCTTAAACTTTGATTTTGAAACCGTCACAAGTTGCTTCACGGTTTGGGAGCTATAGTGATATGAAGCAGGGTATGCCGTCGTCCCTTATGCACCGCAGGGTGCAACTAGTAAACCCTCTCCTCTTTGAACATTTAAACGCCGGCTATGTAGAAAAGCAGCGCCGACTGTGTAGAGAAGCACCACTGGCTGTGTAGAGAGCAGCGCCGGCTGTGTAGAGGAGCAGCGCCGGCTGTGTAGAGAAGCAGCGCCAGTAGTGTAGAGATCAACGCTGGCTATGTCTCTGACATTCATGAGTTGTGTATGTCACTTGTTATATGCATGCTGATTTGAGAGACACTTGTCCAGATGTTTTTTGAGCCTCTTGGTGACACTTGGCCAGCCACCTCAAACCCAAGAATACTTAAGCCTCTTTTGTCACCCACGCCATTCATTCTTACTTCGTTTTATGAAGGTGTATCACTGTGGGCAGTTTTGATAAAATCCAGAACTATCACCCTATTTGCCACGAATTTTGAACCACCAAATGAAATCCAAATGCTTTCAAGTTTGCTTTGTTAGAAAGATATGCATCTTGGCTTAAACTTTGATTTTGAAACCGTCATAAGTTGCTTCACGGTTTCGGAGTTATAGTGATATGAAGCAGGGTATGTCGACGTCTCCTGTGCACTGCAGGGTGCAGCTAGTAAACCCTCTCCTCTTTGAACCTTTAAGAGGTCAAACAGGGTCCAATTGTCTTCAAACCAATCCCGTTTGAAGGATAGGTGTGTTTGGTACAAAATTGGTTTTGGAATCACCTTCAAACCCTAAATGGTTTAAAAGTTACGACCTTAATGGTGAGCGCATGTCTTTGCCCTTGATGGCAGGAAATTAAGCAGTAAGGCTTAACTGAAATAATGATACTGTTACTATGGTACTATCATTATGATACTGTTTAAATGTGATATTGCTACTATCATGATGAGATACTGATATCGTTATAAATGTGAATGATGGTACCATGCTGCTTATGTGATATATGAATGGGTACCTACTATGTTAATGATGGTACCATGCTGCTTTTGTGATATATGAATGGGTACCTACTGTGTGAATGATGGTATCATGCTGCTTTTGTGATATATGAATAAGTACCTACTGTGTGAATGATGGTACCATGCTGCTTTTGTGATATATGAATGGGTACCTACTGTGTGAATGATGGTATCATGCTGCTTATGTGATATTTGAATGGGTACCTACTGTGTGAATGATGGTACCATGCTGCTTATTGTGATATATGAATGGGTACCTACTGTGTGAATGATGGTAACATATTGTTTATTGTGATATATGAATGGGTACCTATTGTGTGAATGATGGTACCATGCTGTTTATTGTGATATATGAATGGGTACCTACTGTGTGAATGATGATACCATGCTGCTTATGTGATATATGAATGAGCACCTACTGTGTGAATGATGGTGTTGGGAAGGGCACCGACTGTGTGAATGATATTGCCGGCAGCTGCGATCTTCCCCTGACTCTCCAGGATAGGACGGGAGTTAGGATGTGAGTAATTGGGAGGGTCGCACCCCTCATATTTATATGGGTACTATGCATTGGGTCACCCAATGGTAGTGTAACGCCCTCTCGCCAGAAGGGCATAAGGAGAGGGTCGTGTCTTGCAAGACCACTGCCTATCGAAAACCCCAAAACGCGCTGGGGTGTGTGTGTGTGTGAGGGCATTACGAAGTGGAACATCCACTTGTCATTGTCCTCCCTCCTGAATGAGGGTAAAGGTTTTAGGCAACAGGATTCACTTAGCCTGTGCGATGGGACTTCTACTTTGGGAGTAGGGCCTTACTAGTTTTGTAACTATGATCTGTTGTCCTTACTATTCTGCTTTAAGAAAGGTGTTTATGGCTTATGTATTGTTTATTGAATTGCTTTTATCATGTTACTATTAGAATGTTGAGAAGCATATTGAGAGACTTCACTTGATGCCTTGTGAATACATGTGCATTGCATATTACTATCACTGTTATATTAATTGAAATGCAATGGTGTAGATCTGTTAACTGGGCTTTTAGCTCTCTCCATCTTAATTTCATAATAGTAGAGTGAAGGGTGGTGGCATCTGTGCTAAAGGTGGGTGGCCGTTTGGAGGTTGAAGCTCGAAGTCGAGAAGTTTGGAAAGCCGTCCTCCGAAGCCTTTCATAGTATGTTTTGGTAATCTCAGCAATATAATGTATATTTTATATTGTGTATTTTGGGCCAGTAGTGCCTTGAAGGAATGGTAAAGACTTTGGATATTGATTGAGTGAAAGAGTTGTACTTTTGATTTGACATTTGTCTGTTGAATGGATTTATTCTAGTTTTCTTTCATTTTTTGCTCTTGACTCCGTGTTTTCATGCGTTGAGCCACTCCCACCTGAGTGACGTTCGCGACCTCCGATCGCGATCCCGAGCTCTGTCGCCCTCCGGCAGGGGTCAAGGGGTGGGGTCGTGACAACTCGACATGATATCAAGTTACAAGTTACAATCATCTTTTTGTCATATATTTTACAGCAAATGACCAACATAAACCGAGTGGCATGTGTTCTTTATAGACTGATTTCATTAATCGTAGATTGTAATGATCCATTAGAGAGATTGTAAGTCAATAAAGTTAAAAATATTGTACACATAGATGCGTGCCAAGTTGATCAGAGAATGGACTCTTTGTTTTGGACAACCGATGCTAACGATACCAAGCATCAAATTACTCGACATGCAATCTCAAGTTACAAGATGCAATCATCTTTTTGTCATATATTTTACAGCAAATGACCAACATAAACCGAGTAGCATGTGTTCTTTATAGACTGATTTCATTAATCGTGGATTGTAATGATCCATTAGAGAGATTGTAAGTCGATAAAGTTAAAAATAATGTACACATAGATGCATGCCAAGTTGATCAGAGAATGGACTCTTTCTTGCATAATTTAAGCTTGTATGGCATTATTGGACTGTTGTTTTTGCAATAAACTATAAATGGTTTGGTAATACTTTATTGTCAAGAAGAACAAAGAATCAAAACTATCCATGTATCTACTTGATGATTGATCATAAGGGGTTACAGATCTCGATTGCCAAATAGGTCGAAACTCGAATCCATACTGCTATGAATCTCGATTCCAATTTAGGTCGAATATCGATTCCAAACAGGTATTAATCTAGATTTGAAATGCCTAGAAGTCACGATTCCAAAGATGCCGAAATCTCGATTCTATAAATGAATGAATTTCGATTCATATTGGTCGATTCCAAATAGGTCGGAAAATCAATTCCATAGAGCTAGAAATCTTGATTCCCCATCTATGTAGAGATCTCGATTCCATTTTGGTCGAATCTTGATTCTTATAAAAAAGGAATCTCGCTTCCCACGATTCCTCCATAGAAAATTTAGGTTGAATCTCAATTCCAAACTGGTGTGAATCTAGATTCGAAATGCCTAGGAATCTTGATTCCAAAGATGTTGAAATCTCAATTCTATAAATGAAGGAATTTCGATTCATATTGATCGATTCCAAATAGGTCAGAAACACAATTCCATAGAGCTAGGAATCTCAATTCCCCATCTATGTAAGGATCTCGATTGGTCGAATCTTGATTCCTATAAAACAGGAAACTCGCTTACCACCATTCCCCTTCTATGGAGATTGATTCTTAAAATAGGAATCTTCTAGCCGGCCTTGATTTCGCGATTCCAATGCTTAAAATGATTCGGATTCGGAATCATTTCCAACAAGATGGGCATAGAAGCTTAAGTGTCATGGAGGTAGGCAATCTTTGAGAAGACATGTCATATTGCTATCCCATATTTAACTATACCATGTACATAGCAAAATAAATAGGGAGATGGATAGGCTAGCTAATAAGGTGTATCCCGAGAGATTCGTTGTCTACTTTATAATTGGAAATTCATTGTTTTTGCATGTGCTTGCATCATTATGATGATATCTTCTCATCCACTAGGTGTCCATATTTCTGTGCAAGTAATGTAATTTGCAACCAATCAAAGAAAGCTATCAAGATATATTATCAGTACTATTAAGATTTATGACGAATATTCACAACTCAAATCTGATTTCAATGTGTTGATGGGGTCATGATACTTTTACCTTGCAGGAAATTGAGTACTGCAGCAGTTATAAAGATACTTGAGACACTTTTAAACACATCCTCATTGATTAATGCAGTAATTGAGCCTTGAGGGCTCCATGCAATGATCACCATAGCCTACAACCAAAAGCCACGATCAAGTCAATTACCACAACACTTCAAATGAGATAGCCAGCAACAGCTACATTAACCAACAAATATATCATACCTGGAAAGCCAATATAAAGAATATCCACATTCGATCAAAACTTCGAAACAGGTGAAAGAAGGTACGAACTTCAACAAAATTGGTCTTGGGCTTCCTTTCTCCACCTCTTTGATCAAAATGTCTCTGAACAAAAGCACAAAAACAATAAATAAATGAGATAATATAGTAAACAGAAAGCACCTAGAAGATGAAACATCGAAGAAAACAAATCAAGGTGGAATCATCCTTTTAGATCCCAATGCATTCTTCACAAATTCACAGTAATGCAGACCCTACTTACTACTAAAATATAAAACTCCTGGAACAAAATTAAACCACAATAAAATATGCATCAACATCATCCAAATGATTCTCATTCTAAATAAGATTCTATCCAAGACAAATGCCCAAATAAGGGCATGGAACCTCAAGGTCTAAAGCAATTCGGGCCTTCTTAGCACGTATACTCTAAGAGGTTGTTTGCATGCCTGAAAAAGATTACTAAGAAATTGTTTTCCAAGGAGATTGCCCATATCTGCCATTTGGATTCAAAATCTCCGGCAGAAATTTTTCCCACTGGAAAATTGTTTTCTACATTTTGAAGCTCCAAATAGAGAAATTGATTTTCTCCCCAAAAGTTAAAAATTTAATTTCTCTACCAGATTTCCTTATGGAGCAAAACAAAAATAAAATAAAATAAAACGAGCATGTAGATTGTTTAGGCCAGGACAAGAAAGACAATCTACTCTTCCTACTCTCTCTCTCTCTCTCTCTCTCTCTCTCTCTCTCTCTCTCACACACACACACAATTATCCTTGTATGTTTATCTCTTTTCTCTCTCTCTGTATCTCCTAGTTCATCGAAATCTCTTTCTAATTTTATAATGCTCAAGCCATTTCCTGCTCTCTCTTTCTCTACGACGTTTGTCTTTAGAGATACCTTGTGTTTAACCCCCTTTTCCATGTAGACCAGGTTGCCTCTAGATGATATCCAAACAGCAACAACACGTTTTAGAGAGAATGTCCTTTGCAAGGTATGATTTCTCAGGATATAGCTTTTTTCAGATAAACTCCGCCATGGCAGGTCCCAAGCTAGTCATGCCGCTCCCAAGCTCGAATAAAGGAGGGTTGTATTAGGTAGGGCAGTCAACGTCAAATTTTGCCACATCATTTCATGAAAGCCAAACCCAAATAGTTGGGATAAGGCTCAGATGATGATGATGATGATACTTGTCTTTAGACCATTTTTTTTCTAAAGATCCAAACGGAGCCTAAAGATCTGCAAAGATTCTATACCTTAGTAAAAAATCAAATGGGTCATTTAGAAATGACTTAGTTATATGATGCACAAATGTGAAAGAAACTAAAGGAAAAAGAAAATAGTGCAAAGCCAGGACAAGAGAGATTTGCACATGGCATCAAAGAAAAATAAGGAAGGTTGAGACCCAAATTTACAAATCTCAAATTAGAAAAAAAATTTCAAAAGTTACAAATTTCAAGAATTGAGTTTTGATCATCTACTATCGAAAACATTAAAAACAAGAAGGTTGCACGTGGGACAAAAGTTTATATGCAAAAAGATTGCAAGAAACTGCTTGGATTCACTCATATGGACATTACATCACACAGAAGTTAATGCAAGAGATGTTTAGATCCATATTTGGTGAAATTCAATCTAACACAACTACTTATCATGTGTGTGTGCTTAATTGAAAAGTTTGGTTGAAAGAGGGTTGCTTTGAAAAGTTAACCTTCTTCAAAAGACAAATAGAGAGGTTGCTTTGAAGGACATCAAAACAAGGAAAAACAAACAACTAATTACAAGCAATAGACAAGAAACAAATAAAGGAGAAGCTAGAGAAAGAATAGAGCATGTAGGGACTTAAGGCCACACCTCGGCATTCTCATTTGTTAATGTTGTGACTATAACAGTCATGTAGCAGTCTTGTATAATGGACTACAACAGCCATGTAACAGTCTTGTAATGGCCTACAACAACATGTAACAGTCTTGCATAATGGACTGTAACAGCCATGTAACAGTCTTGCATAATGGGTTGTAAAATCTATATAACAGTTATGCATAATGGGCTATAACAGCCATGTAATAATCATGCCTAATGGGGTGTAACTCCCATTGGGATCTATGTATATATAGGACACATCACCTGAGGATTTGAATATAGAAGACATCTATATTTTTTTATCTTGTGCTTGAATTTACTCTCTTTTCTCTCTCAATTGTAACATGATATCAAAGCAAGGCTTGAAACCTTAGGATATCCAGTTGTTCTGGTGATCCTAGAAGGCTAGAATCAATGATTTTTTTTTTCTTCTTGGGCTTGAAGCTGTGGTGTATCAGCAACCTCGTATTCCCAGCAAGATCATCTTTCTTTTACAAATAAGTAAGTTTTCATCCCAAACTCCGTTCTTTTTCAGCAACCTCATATTTCTAGCAATCTCACATTTTCAGCAACCTCAAATTTCCAGCAACCTCATATTTCTAGCAATTTCACATTTCCAGCAACCTCATAGTAATCCCAAACTCCTTTCTTTTTCAGCAACCTCATATTTCCAGCAACATCGTATTTCCAGACAACCTCATATTTCCAACAATCTCACATTCCCAACAACCTAACATTTGAAACTACGAATTAGTACCTTGAAAAAAAAAAGAAGCCTTAGGGTTTCCAGTTAGAGAGAGAAGGAAAATGTCATAAATTAAGCTTAATATTTCCTTGGGAAGAAATCAATCTGACCACTCAAGATGATAATTAATATAGTCAAGCAAAATGGGACAAAAACTACTTAGAATGGTCCCAATCTGCTAAAATATTTATAGGTAACCGGAGGAAGCCTCCTACAAATAATTCAGCCCATGATGAATATGAAAGTGAGAACTTGACAGTAATGGCATGGCTCCTTCATTCCATGCAGCCAACTATCAGCAAAGGGCTACTGTTTCTTAAGACCGCAAAGAATATATGGGAGGCAATAGCCAAGACATACTCATACCGAGATGATATGGCTAGGATTTACAAATTTCATTGTGAAATAGTGAATTTGCAGCAAGGAGAAATGACTGCGGAAGAGAAATTTGGGATATTTGGGATATTAAGCAGGAAGAACTAGACTACTATCAGCCAATTAATCTTATAGTTAATGACATTAAAACACTGGCGCAACAAGGGATCTTTGAGTTAATAGCAAGCCTGCATCCTAACTTTGAATTATGTAAGAGGGAAGGCTAGCAAAAAGGCCATTGCAAAAGGAAAAAAACTCAAGCATTCATTTTGAATGAGAAGCCTTTGAAACAAGCTTCAAGCAAGGAAAAGCCGGTAAGAAATGACCAAAATCATGCCCACTTTCTCCTGTAGAAAAGGAGAAACTCAAATGCGCCTATTGTGGTAAGAAGAGACACACTCGGGAGCACTGTTGAGACTTGCATCCACACTTGAGAGCAAAACTAAGGAATGCAATTGCTCGTATTGTATCGAGCGAGGGAGAGGGAACCTCAACCATACAACCAAATGATCTCAATCCAAGAAATTAGGCCATCTAAGATTTAAAGCACCAGTTGACTATCTCAAGGCTTCACTCATCTCTAAGTCACCGATAGAGCAGCCAGGTTCATTGCTTAACTTTAACCTTCCTTTCATGCATACCTTTACTCTACTTCCTCTATTCCTATTCCCACCAAATGTTTTTGAATATATTCCCACCAAATATATAGATGCATTTGCTCATCCACAATGGAAAGCGGCCATGATTGAGGAAATGATTGCCTTCGAGAAGCAACGAACTTGGGATATAATTGATCGGCTAGAAAGACATAATGTGGTTGGATGCAAGTACGTGTATACTTTGAAGCACAAACCAGATGGTTCAAGTAAGAGATACAAAGCTCGTCTGGTGGCTAAGGGTTTTACGTAGTTATATGGGGTTGACTATAAGGAGACTTTTGCTCCTGTAGCAAAATTGAAATCAGTATGGGTACTTTCATCTATTGTAGTTAACACGAAATAGCCACTCCACCAATTAGATATGAAGAATACTTTTCTTCATGGAAATCTGCAACAGATAGGATATATGGCTGCATTACCACTTGTGTATCCTCAATGGGAGAAAAGGAAGGTATGTAAATTGAAAAAAGCTATATATCGACTGAAACAATCACCTCAGGCTTGGTCTGAAAAATTCAGTATGGCAGTATGTCAGATTGGATTTCATAGAAGTGTTTCATATCATACATTATTTGTTAAAAGATATTTCTTGTTCACCATAATAGTGATAGTGTATGTGGATGATATAGTGCTCACAGGAAATAATGATCACGATACTCAAAAAGTGAAAGATTCTTTGGGGTTGTTTTTGACATCAAGGATCTTGATCTATTGAAATACCTTCTTGGAATAAAGGTAGCAAGGTCTAAACAAGGAATTTTTTTTGTTTCAAAGAAAGTACACTCTCGATCTTCTCAATGACACAGGAATGCTTAAGGACAAACCAGAAGAATCTCCTATTGACGTTAACCACAAATTATATAATCAGCAGTCAGAGCCTCTGGGTAATCCTGGTGTATATCAGAGATTAGTGAGGAGACTTATTTATTTGACTATCACAGGGCCAGACATTGCATACAATGTAAGTGTGGCAAATCAGTCTTATGCACGCATCATGCTCCCATCACTTGGAGGTTGTTTATCGCATTTTACGATATTTGAAATCTGCTACAGGGAGTGGGCTACTTTATACCAGTCATGTTCACCTTGACGTACAACATTTCTGCAATGCAGATTGGGCTTAGTGTTCTCTTGATCGAAGATTCACCAGTGTCTACTTTATGATAAAGGGTATTAATTTAGTCACATGGAAGAGTAAGAAGAAGAGTGTTGTAGCTCGATCTTCAACAGAAGCTGAGTATTAAGCAACGGCAAGTGCTACATGTGAAATAATTTGGATTTGTTCTCTTCTTCAAGAGACGGGTATTAATGTATTAGCTCCTGTTCCTCTATATTGTGATTATCCAGGGGCAATTTATATTGCTTCAAACCCTGTATTTCATGAAAGAACCGAGAATATTGAAATCAATTGTCACTTCGTCAGAGGTCACTTTAAAAACAATATATACTCCACGGTATGTGTGACCTAGGCTTGTCCCTAGGGGGAACTTGTAATCTATAGACTAGATTATGTCCCCTCACCTATTGGCTGACTTTGGTAGCCAATCATGAACTCATGTGATGGATTGTAGTTCATAGAAACTACTGGGTCAATTTGAGAAAGAGATTGTGGTTCATGGTCTCTAGTAAAAGATAGAGTGCTTCAGTAATTTTGTATTCTCTTTAACACAGTTGGAATTGAATCCCATCAAATTAATTTGATTATAAATGATTTTAAATTGACAAAACAAATTTTTAGAAGTCTCTGGATATTTTATTTTCTCAAAACAGATTTATAAATAGGCTTAAAATGAATTTTCAGTATTTAATTATTTAGAGAGAAAAATAAAATAGTAAATATTTTCTAAAAGTCATTTTATTAATTTTATAATTACTAATACACATGGGGGCCCATTATTCTCCATGGCCCCCATTAATTTAGAACATGTTGGGAGGTGTGTGGGGCCCACTAGAGCCCCATGGGTGGCATATCCCACATAGTGCACCTTCTTGCCATCCCACATAGTGCACCTTCTTTCTTATTTTGTGGCATGCAAGTTGGCCCCTCAATCAATTGAAAAACAAATGAAGGTTTTGCCATGATAGATATTTTGACTTTTCAAAGTGGTATGTGTAGATAATGAATGGAAATAAAAAGAAAGAGAAACATATTTTTCATGTATTAAATATTTGATGGAATTAGGTTAAGGAAGCTGAAGGATAAAGTTCTAACAACTTCCATTAGATCATGATGGCCAATCTATAGATTGTAAGGGTAAGATCTCACACCCCACAGGTTTCCAATGATCAATGGTCTAGATCAAATCTCTATAAGGATGGCTAATTCTAGAAACCCTAACCATAATCATAAGTTTATATAATGCCTCATTGTGGGGGGGGGGGGCAAATCTCTACGCCTCAAGTAACATCTCTCTTCTCCCAAAAAAAGGTGGCACACCACCTTCACTAATCTCTTTAGCTTCATGTCAGCCCCTTCTCTTCATACTCAAAAAAATTTTAAGAAAAGAAAAAGGGGGCACGGCCCATACACATAGATCAAGGGGCCAAGGTCTATGTTCAATTCTAGGCTTGAATTTACCAAGCAGTTTACGAGCGCATATCCATTTTTGTTTTTAGGTTGGTCACTTGGATGAGTAAGCTACATTCCTGAAATCTCAGGCATTAAAAATAATCCCAATTAAGTTTTTGCCTGAGGAAGCAAGTGTACAATTTGTTTCGATAGGACAATATAATCATATGTGTGCTATTAATTGATATATTGTTTAGGTGTATGCACGACCACATACATAAAAACGGTAATCCAATCCACATACGAAAATAGACAGAATTTTAGATTTGATTATGAGGCTGCAAGGGGGGAAGAGAGAGAGAGAGAGAGAGAGAGAGAGAGAGAGAGAGAGAGAGCCTAC